GAAAGAAAGAAAGAAAGAAAGAAAGAAAGAAAGAAAGAAAGAAAGAAAGAAAGAAAGAAAGAAAGAAAGAAAGAAAGAAAGAAAGAAAGAAATGACTGAACTAATAATTTTAGCTATTAGAATTGACACATGAATTTAAGCCTGTTTCTCACCCCAGTGGAGAATAAAAGTTGTCAAACAACCTAAATTGATTCTTCAAAAGTGTTGCATGCTATGCAAATTAGCTTTTTATGTAGAGAGTATTTTTTATGAAATCTACCTGGATTTCCATAAAGCTTTTAATCTGAAGTTTGAACAACAGGATAAAAATGTGCGATATAAACTATGTCACCTTAAGCATAGGCATGATCCAAGGATTTTGCTCAGATTATCTATATCTACATATTTCATAAACAATTATTTAGAGAGACATACATGTCAAATTGAAAATCGCATCATGTCCCCTATTCCAATTTAGCAATGGCCCATTAAAATGAAAGTTAAATTATCTTCTTTCTTGTGGATTAAACTGAATTAGAAAACCCAGGTTGGTGGATCCAGAATCAAGTTAGCTGCAAATACATTCACTACTGAATTGAATTTATCATCAGAACCATTGGCACTTTCCCTGCCTTTACCTATTAGGGGCTGAACTTGCCGTGGTAAGTGAAGACCAACTAAAGTGAGGACCTAAAGGAACATCAGTACTCCCCTTCTTTTCTCAATTCATCAATCAGATGGTTTTGCCTGCTTCTTTAAGGTGGACTGAGTAAAGAGAGTTGTTAAAAATTGTGATATGGCGATTTGAATGGATGAAGAAACACCTATAGGATTATTGGACACAGTGCTGGTGTGCCTGTGGATGACTGACATGGAGGCTGCAAACTGAAGAGGAGTAATTCACCCCTGATGTGAGTGGCATCAAACAATATGTTTGCAGCCTGGACAAAATACAAAAGGAAAAAAGAAGAAAGTCTGTCCTTTGTTCTTCAGAGGAGCTCTGGTCTTTGCCACTTCCTTTGGATGTTAGTCTCCAGTTCTTTCAGGCTTCCAGCATAGATTCCCTTTAACTTTCCGACAAAAACTCGCACCAAACTTCAGTGACCTCCACGCCTTCCATCTTAGACTGGATCCTTCCGCTTTCCAGAGCACAGACAGGCATTTTGCATTTTTCCAAAAATCTGCTTCTCTAGTGAACTCTAACACACAGAAATAGCTGAAAAAAATGTTTTTCCTTTCTCTGTGCCTCAGAAAGGGCAGATGTTCTATATTTTAGCCGTAAGATAGTAGTAGAGAATGGGAGTGAACAGTCCCCATGACTATCCCCCATCCTGATGATATAAAATATATAATCTATGCAATCAGTCCCGAGTATTAAAAAATTTGATTGTAAAAATATTACATTTTCAGGTAATAAGATAAAAGTGGCAATACTGATGCCTCAAGAATCAATATAATTCAGAGTGAGTTTACTAAATGAAATTATTTCACTCGAAGGAGGGGAGTAATAGTAAAACAATCCAGAAACATTATCACAGAAAACTGATTAAAAATAAATACTGCAAAGGTAGAATGGCTCATAAGCTATATATGAGATATCTCTGTGCCTGTTATTTTAAAGGCAAACATCATATTAGAAATGTGTTAATAGAAATGAAATACACAAAAATATAAGTACATTGAGAATTCTTCCAATTCAAATAACAGTATTATATTCAGTTTTGACAAGTAAATATAAAACAATGTGTGGAAAAATACAAAGTTTCTGTAGAAGATTTTTAAAAAGATAAAATGCTAGAATGCAATGATGAATAACCAAAAGAGGATATGTGTGCTCTGAAACACAGATTTGGGTTGAAATAGGATCCACGTGATGTATTGATTGCAGGACATTGGTCTTGCTGGTTGACCTTGCCTCCTGTCCTTGCCTTGTCTGTGAGTGACAGCAGCTTCATAGGGGTATTGCACTATGGTGACCACACATAAGCGAATAGTTACCCAGTTTCCTGGGACATATATTGAAAAGGAAAGCCTGAAAGAAATAGATTAATTTGAAATTGTCTTGAATATAGAGGTGTCTTAACCTGCTTTCTCTTCCAGTAAACAGTCACTTTGTACCCTGAAGAGTTTGCAAGGAAACTAATAACCCTAAATTGCATCAATTTGCCTCTTGACTTCCTATGAATATAATACTGGAATAGATCCTAGGTCTTACTGTGTCCAAACCAGAAATTCAGGCAAGATCATTATAAATATGTATCTAAATGATTGGAGGATAAGCCAGTCTCATTCCCTCTGCAAGATTTTAAACCTCAGATGTTTTCTATATGGTTATACATGCTGTTCCTATCCATTTACCTTAAATCTGAACTTCCCTAAATATTTTCTAAAATACATTTATTAACTTAATGTATTAGACAGCTTAAATCTTTGTAAATGTTTATTTTTGCAGCTTTTACAACTGGGACAGTCGGGTGGCTGTTTGTAATTCAAGTCCCAATTATCAAGTGATTGATGATAATCCAGATGGCTTACTTTTCAAATATAAAAAAGACAGAAAAATTCTCAATGTGGACCCAAAGGTAATTCTGATTCATATTTATATATCTTTTCAAATTCTATTGAATTTCTACAATTATTCAAAAATTGAATAGCTGACACATTTAAGATTTTCTACACTAGAAATAAAAAACTTTTAAAGCTTAGTGTGTACTTTCTTTTAAAAAAAAAACTCCACAGCTTAATTAATTTTCAGAAATTAATGAAAGAGTTTAGGGGGAATTTAAATAGACTGTACAGGTGGGAACACTTCTCCATTCCCAGCAACAGAAAGAGATTAACCAGTGGACACTTTTTTGTTTACCCTGATCCTGGAGATATCCAGTTGAGTTTGCTTTTGGTAGGGAGGTGACTTATTTAGGGGAGCGAGACTCTAATCTCACATTTGTACCCAGAATTATAACATCTCTCTCTGTGTGGCTAAGGCTGATAAAAGTATGGCCATTAGCATATGTCTAAATGTTCATTTAGAAAACACATTTATATATTTTAAAAGCATGACCCATAATATTTTGAACTAGTTAAAAGAATAATAATTTTTATCTAATGTATTTTCAAAAACTGCTATTGCATTGTGACTGTTTATCATGACCTGATGTCTGGGGATGAAAGTTGAGACTTTGCTTAATATTATTGTGTACTTGGGTTGTTTAGGTGTGTGGGGTTTTTTTAAACTTTTGAGAATAAGTTATTCACATTCATATGATAATATCAGTCTATAATCCAAAGACAAGAAAAATATTCCTTTAGAGTGAAGAAAATAAGAATTACAGGATATTTGTTAGTGTAGAGGCAAGGATTAATCAAAAGTAAGAAAGAAGAATCAGGGTTTTACTTTTTTTTCTAAAAAACAATTCAGAGATTCAAAATCAAAATTCTTTCTCTCATATCCACTTAATACAGTTCCTGGCTATTGAAGTGCTCAGTAACTATGTGTCCAAAGAATAAATGAATGAAATTCTATAGCAAGAAATGGATTATGTCTGCAAGTATCAGAAAATTCAAGACAGTGGTTTAAACAGAATAGAAACCTCTTTCCCACATGTGAGTCTAGAGAGTGGCAGACCAAGGTTGGGCTGGCAGCTCCATAGTCATTTGGACAGAGTGGTCTTCATCCCCAGAACTGATGCGGTGGGGATGAAGGGATACAAAAGACCTGCTATGGCTGCCTTTTAAGAAAGTTTCCCAAACAGTCCCTCACAGTCATTCTTACACGTCCCCTTGTAAGAATAGAGCCACTTCTAACCATACTGAAGACTCTTAAGTGTAATCTTTCTTCAAGTGGCCTTGGCCACACACCTTGTGTTAGCTTTCTATGGGACAGGAAAAAGCGAGGTTGAGTGGACAACTAGCAGTTTCTGACAAATGTGACCTCTTTTCAAAGAATACTGCTCTATTTTGATCTCAGGCTTCTAAGTAAAATAAGGTACTAGATCAGAAAATCTCTAGAGCCATATTTATTATGGATCTGTGAGTACCAAAAATATTTATCAGCAGACTTGCTCTCCAGTAGTGCCTCCTTACTAATGAGTGTCAAAATGTGATTAGTTGCAACAAGTATACAAAACTTAAACTTTCATTAAACTTACAAATAATATTCAGAATCATTTTCTTTGGAATGCTAAACTATATACGTAAGTGTAACATTATTAATAGTTTCGTGAAGACATGCAAAACAAATTTTTAATCAGTTTTAAAAGACATCATATTTAACCTGTTTCATGGATCTATTTTTTAAAAGGGCATAGTTCAAGAATGTATGTCATGAATTATTTTTATGGACTTAGAAGCACATTATTGAATGCAAACTATTAACTTGAACATGGTTCAAAAAACTTTAACACTTTCACTTTCAAAATAATGAACAATGGAAATTTCAAAGATTTAATCAACAATACAGGAAATATAACATTTTCCTCTTGTTTTCTAGAAGAAAAATACTTGAATGTGAAGGAAAGTTTTCCAAATCTTAAAGAACAAGGAGTTAGTTAATGAGCGATAAAAATAAAGGCTTATTTAGCAAATACTTCATGATATTTGGATACTTTTTATTTTACTTGTGTTATATTTTATACTTGTATTTTAATTATCTATTTTTGAAGATTAAAAATTAATGTCAGATTTTCTGGAAAGAAGTATTGACCCTGAATAGCAATCAGTAAATTAATCTCTATGCCTTACTTTGCTATTAATTGGCTGCATAGCCTTGATAAATTCAATTAATCTTCCTACATTTTAATGCTAACAACTGGAAGATGGGGGTTTGTTTTATTTGTTTGTTTTGTTTTGTTTCTGATCTCTAGAGTCCCTCTAAAGCACCAATCAGAATCTTCAGAAATCCTGGCTCCACTGAATCCAGAAGTACATACTTTAATAACCAGCCATTGTTATTCTGCTATAGTTTGTCTATGAACACAATTTAGGAAAACTTTCTCCATAAAAAGGCAATCAGTTCAAGAAATCTGGCATACTGTCTCAAATATTAGTGAAGTAACATATAGATTTTATTTTTATGGACCATGTATAAAATTTTTCCCACATGATTTCTTACTCACCCTCGTCAAAGATCCTTGATGTTTGGTATTTCATGCATCCAATATAACATTCCTTGTAGGCCTATAGGAGGAATAAGCTAAAATGTCTCTTTTTAAAAATTACAAATTAAATGATAAGAATTCCATTTTTATTCTCAGTATTTCTCTGAACAATTGTGCTTAAAATTCTTCCAAAGATGAGCATCTCCTAAATCTATCAGTTAAGGTGCCGTAAAATGCTATGTGGCGAACACAGCCCAGCCCTGCTTTCCTTTTATTTCAATTACTCTCTTGAAAATACTTTATGCTTAAAATTAAAGAGGTCAAGATAAATGAAAGGTTGAAACAGTGGTAAACAGGATGTGTTTCCTTTGTACAACACAGATGTAGACTCATTAATCCTGAAGTGTGTTTCCCATGAAACACACTTGTTTGTGAATGGTAAGAGTGGAAAAAGAAAACTGTGCAGGTCTTAGAACAAGTAATATGAGTTCATTGGCTAAGAAATTCCAAATGCAATAAGAGTTTGGTTGCATTGAAAACAGGACCACTGGCTTTAACTTCCCTGCAGCTGTATAACATCTGGAACAAATAAGGCAAGTTTCTATTTTTAAGTGAAGAATGCTTGTCTGAGTAATTCACACCCACCAAAATGTTTCCAGTGTATTATCTTTAGAGGGCTGGAGTGGAAGCACTTTACACTTATTTCTCAGTATTGTGTGCACAAATAAATCATATAGGCTTTTTTTTAACTTTTAAAAATACTAAGCATGGGAAAGTTTGCTCTGAGTCTTACCACAATATAGGTGCTCTAAAACTGGCATGATGTACCAATAAGATGAGAGAAGAGAGAGTGTACACAATAGTTAAACAAGCAAAAAAATTCTTATTTACACCAGCTTTTCTCCCTGTATTCCTCCCATTAGCTAAAATGGAAAAGGTCCTTGAGAGCCTATTGCTTGGAAAAAGTACTTGGTTAATAAATATTGAATAAATATACATTGAAAAAATAATTGGATAGATCATTCCCTCCACAAAACAAATAGTGGTAATAATTGTGCTATTCTATAAAAATGAGTAGATTATGCTACTAATATTTGATGTATCAGCAATAGTGAGAATGAGTATAGCTATTCCACTTTATATCTGTCCAAATAAGTCAGAAAAAAAATTGGGGGAATTTATCTTTGGAAAGAGGTTTTGTAGAAATTATGGAGAAATCTTTATTTTGGTGCATGCTTTCAAATCTTCTTGTGTAGCCCCAGAAATAAGTAATTTAAATTATCTCAATGAGACTATTAAATTAAAACATATTTTTGATTTGTGAATAGACTCACTTTAAGTGACCTGCTCAAAGTTGTATAGTTAATTATTAGTAGAATCTAACAATGCCGCTTAAAATTAAATATTATAAGACACAGTGAAGGCAAAGAGTAAAACTTCAACCCTTGCCCTTTAACTACTAATAGATTTTTAAAGAGAAATAAGCATGTGAAAACATAACTGTCATGTAAGGCAATAAGTGGAAATTTACAGAAAAGAGAAATACTTTGAGAATTCAGTGGAAGAAGGGATGACTTTTGATCTAGGGGCAGGAGCCAGTGGAGAGTGCTAATGAGAGACAGCATGGGAAAATCTTAGGTAACACTGAAGGATATTGTCTTGTAGCTAGGACTTGAAGCATAATTAGGGGTTAAATTTACAGAGAGGGAGAGATCATCAGTACCTGGGATTAAATTATTACCCAAATTTCACAAGTATAAAAAAGACAAAGGAAAATTTAAATAGTTCTGTTTGGCTGCTACATTAGTTTAGGAGTAAGGTGGGGATTAAGCCTGAAAAGATCAGGAAAAGCTTTGCAAACAGCGCTGATGAAGAGCTTGGACTAGATGCGACAGATGTGAAAGGGGAGATATGTCCAGGCTCTTGTGCAGGTAAATAACAGGTGAAAGTCACATTTTAAACTGACTGGATAGTATAGAACAGGACTGACTAGAGAGGAAAAACTGGAGGTAAGGGCAGTTAACAATAACCCAGGTAACGAGTCAAGAGGATAAGAAGTAAGGGTCCTGCTATAGTTAAGAGATTTCAGATTGATGTTTTCAGTATTCTAGCTACCTGACCATGCAAAGACAAAACTTAGAAAATGTTTATCTGTCAGCAAAGGTTTTGAGGGAATCTCACTCCACCCAACCCTGAGAAAAGAAAGATGTACTAGAACACCTCCTGAACATACTTGCTTGTTAAATGTCTAACGCTAAAACAAGCAAACCAAACCACATTCAGAGATCCCAGAGATGGTGTTGTTTGTGTTAAGTGGAGGACATTGGTGAAACTAGAGACACCACTATAGAATAATCTTTCAGGATGCACTGTTTCACAGAGCTTGTTGTTTATGCGTTGCTTTAGTGGGATCTATTTCTATTTTCTTTATGTGTCACTACCCTTCACTATACACAGAAGCCTGGGCTCTTCTTCGTGAAAATTGT